TGAGTCTGTGAAAAATATTTAGACGATACAGTTTTTATATCATATATTGTATTTTAATATAGACTGCGTATTTGTTACAGTTAGAACAATACCGAATGTACAAAAAGAATAAATGCTGAAGTGCAGAATATGATTTAAAATCCTGGAATTTTTAGATCTTACAATAATTTTATTTACGTGATAGTTAATACAAAATAAATGAATCTAAGAAAAAAAAATAGATTAAATAGTTAAGACAGGAAGGCAGATAAGATTAAAGGCAATGACAAAACATAAATTGTCTTTCAGTCGTATCAAACGATAATCTCCAAATTAACTGATCTTAATAACGTTTGTACATTGACTTTTACTTTATCTCTTATTACGCACCTCACACGCGCTGCGTATCTCTCACATTTTTACACATATCATTATTACTCTACACACGATTCATTTTTACTCTGTATGTGCTTTCTGATTGTTTATCCGACACAAAATAGAAACAACTGACTGCGTATTTCAATTATCGCTTCGTGTATCAACTAAGCACTGTTATTTATAATATATAATTTATTACTGGAACAGATATAAAATTATCTCTACTCTACTCCGTAATCATCTCACACACACACCACACACATGTCCATACATACAATTATACTTCGCCTAAGAATCTATAGTCTAGCCTCTGCTATCGCTTCTATCATATGTGATATAATAGGAAATATAGTAATTAACAAAATAGAAATTAATTTAATATATTTATATTCTTTACATGACTCAGATGGCTTGCGTCCACACAATTTCAAACGACACATGCGAGACATGCCTTTCCCTGTTTCGACGAGCCTAGTTTTAAAGCACGATTCATTATCAGAATCCTCCGACCGGCAGGGTATAACACTATCAGTAATATGCCCTTGAACAGGACCGTAAACGTGTAAGTATGATGCAATCTACATAATAATATAAAATAATATGGCAGTAGTGGCCAAACTTTATTATGACATGATATTTAGGGGCTATACCAGTGTGATGGTCCAAAATTTAAGTGTTTTTGAGAAATTTTTTTAAAAGAAGTATTCCATAGAATGTTTTTAAACTTTATGGATGTGTTTGTTTATAAATGAACTGTGTAAAATAATTTTTTCGTACAAAAATAACTAAAGGCGACCAAGTTATGTGCTACCTCTTGAGAAGCCAAAAAGAAGCGCCTCAAATGCTGACCGCATGCAGTGCCTGAAATGAAAAAAGACAAAGACGTTCTTACATTAGAATATGTCGTACGATGACGTAAGATATACGAGAAATGTTGAAATCTAACAAAATGGCGGAGTTTTCAAGAAATCTTTCGATTTTTCCTTAAAAAAATTGTCGTTTTTTTGTTGCTAAAATTACAGGTTTCGTCCAATCAAGAATATCCTACGTCATCGGACAATCATATCCAAAACATTCTGTTAAAATTTCAAGTCAATCAGATAATTGGTCTTTGTTTAAAGTTTTAACCATTATGTTATTACCAATATGTTATATTAATACTATTAGAAGGCTGCCGACATTGAAATTTTAGTATGATATTTTTGATGGTATAAACTTTCGAAAAATGCAAAAAAAATTCGATCTTTTTTAAAGTTTCACACTGGTATGGCCCCTTAATCTTTAACGTCCCTTGCGTTTCTTTACTGCGACCCTGGCAAATTTTTGCAAACATTTTCTCCGAGAATGAAATACTGGGAAAATCTTGAATTTATATATATATCCTAGAAAGTTACTTGCTCGTTGAATATGAGCTGTAATATCATTTCTTCAGCTGTTCTTGAATTCAGAATATGATTATATCTTTCTTTTTAATATCTTACTAAAAAAGGATCTTACTATTGTCCCTAATCGAGTAGTATTCTTGCATGTTTACAATAACTACAAAAGCCGTATTCGTGTTTCCCTCCCACCACTGTAATACAGCAATTGCTAATAAGACACGAAGACTGTTGCAACTAATTGGATGTAAATTGCTTGTTCACAGTAACAGCACCGAATACTGGGACGAATACCAGGAGAGCATTCCTATGTCGACATATCTAGTAGCTTTCATAGTCTCGGATTTCAAATCCACTGAAAGAGGTACTACCTCGGTTTGGGCAAGACCGAACGCACTCCCTCAATCCACATATGCCCTTGACATCGGCGAACGGAGTGTTAAACACCTGTCCCAGCGATTCAATCAAAGTTATCAGATTTCTAAATTGGACATGGCAGCTGTGCCCGATTTCTCGGCCGGTGCGATGGAGAACTGGGGTCTGATCACCTACAGGGAATCTAGGATGCTGTACGACAGTGAGCTCACATCGGACGCCGCCAAACAGACCATCGCCTCGGTAATCGTGCACGAAGTGACCCACATGTGGTTTGGTAACCAAGTCACCCCGGAGTGGTGGAGTTACTTGTGGCTAAGCGAAGCGTTCGCCAGATACTTCCAGTACTTTGGTACCGCGATGGTAATTTCAATACTCATCCAATAATTTTTACATTCTTTATTCAGTCTTTTGTCTTTAGAGATCCGATATGACTCTCTATTCTCTTTCTTATCGGTATTACATTGGCCTACTCCTTATATATACAGGGTGTCCCAGAACTAGTGTTAGGCCTTGAAATAGGGAGGAGCTGTGGTGATTTTAAACAACTTCTTCCTTTGCAAAAATGTTGTCCGAGGCGTGGTTGTCGAGTTATTAATAAAAATTACCGACTAACCGGAGCGTTCGTATATGTACAAGGCGGACAGGAGCCGCCGGGCCGTATGCCACGTGACGAAAACATAGGATTAAAACGAAACTTACATGCAAGAGTAACTAAGAAATTGATTAAATATCAGAGAAAAGAAAGCAATTAGTCGTTTGTTATGTTCATTGAATAGATGCAACATATTCAGTGAGATAACTAACAACTTTATAAATTACACAGTAGATAAAGCATAAAAAATGGGAAAAGAATTAGAGTTGAAATTAGTCGTTCGTCTCTAAGTTCACCTGCTCCTAGAAGAATTTCAGTGGGTCAATGTGCCGAAGCCTGACATTCGAAACTAAAACACATGGCCATATCTGTCAGTGACCTGCTCTAAACATCACTGCTGCCCATGTGTTTTATCTTTAAGTATCGGGTTTCGGTACGTTGACCCAATGACGTTCTTCTAGGAGCAGGTGAACTTAAAGACGAACGAATAAAGGTCTAGCCCCACTGACGACACGACAACGACAGCCTGGGTTTTTTGAGGTGATGGGGCGGCCGAGCCAGTACCGCAGCCTTTACAACTGAGAGTATAGGGAAAAGCGTGTAAAAGCAGTTATAAAGGCTATGGTACTGACTCGGCCGCCCCACCACCTCAGAAAACACAAGCTGTCGTTGTCGTGTCGTTGTCTTGTCGTCAGTGGGGCAGGACCTTAAGTTCAACTCTAATTCTCTTCTCATTTTTTTATAATTTTAGCTACTCTGTAATTTATAAATTTGTTAGTTATTTCATTGAGTATGTTAGATTTATTGAGCGAAGGTAAATAATGACTAATTGCTTTGTTTTCTGTTATATTTAAAAAATTTCTTAGTTGCCCGTGCACGTAACTTTTGTTTTAATCCTACATTTCGTTACGAGCGTGACATAAGGCTGCGGCAATGCACGGGACGGTTATCGCGCTCCTTGTACACGAGCATTCTGATTGGTCCCGGTTTTTGTTAATAACTCGTTAACCGCGCCTTGGACAACTTTTTTGCAAAGGAAAAAGTTATTTAAAAATCACCTCAGCTCCTTCCCATTTGAAGGCCTAACACTGGTTCTGGGGCACCCTATATATACCATTACTATAATAATTTCATATATCTACATTAGTAGTTAAGGAGGAATCCCACTATCCGATACCGTTACATTATCCGATGTTGTTATTCGCATTATAATATGCATTTAGCTCGGCCTTATTCCTCTCGGCTGAAATAATTATCAGCTAATAATCTACAAATGACTGTCGGAAGGAATCGGAGGGTGAGCTTTCCCTGGATTTTAGTTGGAAGGTGTCGTTTCCGACCACGAAGCGGCCGGTCGAACCTAAACAGTAGGCGGTCTACCTGCTGATTCGGACTCATGTCTGACCGGAGGCCCCTGAGGCCTCCTGCTTTTATATGCTTTTCCCTATATTCTGTCTTACTGACTACAGTACACGCTTGTTTTCGAGCTGTTGGATCCAACAACTGTCTGAACGGTATCGGATAGTGGGAATCCTCCTTTAGCTCTACGTTTAGCACGAGAGATGACCTGACGTTAATCCCATGAGTCACATTGAATTGGTGGAGCCTCAGTTTCCGAGGCACCCACACCATTAAATTTAAATACTCCTTACACACAATAATATTATCTGGATCGTGTTCTATAGGGCGAGTCTCGTAATGACGACTTCGTCGACGAATAACTCGTAAGATATTATATTTGTTATAACATTTTCCTACTTAAAATTTGGTGCTTTATTAAAATTTTAGAGAATAATATTCGGCATTCTATTTAAAAAACTGATGGCGATCCTCATATGTCGATAAATGAGCAGAGAAACGAAAAACAGATCATAGCCCTGCATGTCCCACTGGGAGTCGTGCAGCATTTGTTTAAACATTTTTATCGTACAACAAATATTGTACGCGTTATTCGAAGTCTATGAGACTCACCCTGTATGTACATATGTATTTTCTATCCAAATTGCTCGTCGCACTTGAGGGTCCTTGCGCATTGCTAATCTTTGCTATATGTTGCTACAATAGATTCTTTGAAACCACATTTGACAAAATACAACCTGACTAAGAAATTGTTATTCCGTTTAATAATATATTGTACTTTGGACATTCCTGTTTTATGTTTGAATTTTCTGTAAACCCATAAAAATTCGCAGGCTTACTGAAAGTAATTTTTACTGTTATTTGTTGTTATGTTTGGTTACGCAACTTTTGGTGCATAGGTCGAGCCTACTTGGAAGATGGAAGATCAGTTCATCGTGGAACAACAACATACGGCTTATGCTTCTGACGGGGTTGAAACGTCTCAGCCGATGACGCGGGAGGTATTAAATTCGTCGCAAGTCAGCCAAGTCGGAGATACTATCACTTACAATAAAGGAGCGTGTATTGTTCGAATGATGAATCTCATCTTCGGACCTGAAGTATTCGATGCTGGACTTCATAACTACTTGGCAAAGTAATTGTCACATGATATTAAAGAATATATTTTACCATAAAAACTTTCGGTTTTCATATTAGGTCACTTTTGTCCAAGTTTACTCTTCATATTCTTCATACTTCTGTTCGAATTTTATTAAAGAAATTAAGGTAACATGTAGCAATAAGAATTATTGATTGATATTTTAGAAACTTTAAAGAATATTCTATAACTTCTATATAGGCGTTTTATCCCAAAAGGCATGCATAAGGTTAAACGAGCCAATGTACAAACGATGTATGTACAAGTAAGGTTGCGAGTTAGGGTTTAAGAGTCTAACAGTAGATATAGTGAGGATCAAAACTGGATAGGATTGTAGATTTTTAATCTTTGCAAAATATTTGCAATTAAATTAAATTTCAATCGTTAACTGAAATTTCTTTTAATCAAGAATTAAAATTTAATTGCTTATGTTCTCTTTCTAATTAAGGATTGGTAGTGTACAGGGTATCCCAGAAAAAGTTTTTGATCAGAAAGATTCTGTAAGTGTTTCTGAACAACAATTTCCTTTGGCAAAATGCAAAGTGAAGCATGGTTTTTGAATTATTAACAAAAAACACTGACATTGGTTAATAAAGGTACTTACGAAAGTAAGTAAAAATCAGCCGCACGGCCGAGCGTCACGATCCGAGTCAACCTACCCGTGGCTGACGTGGGTCTTAAACGTGCCCTCATTGGTCAGTGTTTTTCGTTAATAATTCAAAACCATACCTCACTGTGCATTTTGCCAAACGAAATTATTGTTCAGAAACACCTTCAATATCACCTCTTTTCAACTCTGACACTTTTTCTGGGACACTTAATTAGAAGAAATTTCAATTAACAATTGAACGTTAATCACGAATTCAAGAAAGCCCAACTAAAATTAAACCCAATAGCCCAATTAAATTCGCAACACTTAATTAATCAACTCTGTACAGGTAAAGTTGCGGACTGATATTTAACTTTACATACAAATAAAACGGAATTAGATGCATTCGAAAAATACTATTTAAATTCTTTTACTAATTAATACTAGTTAAGTTCTTGACGTCTCGGAAACTTCAAAGTTTACAATGGCACGTAGAACGAAGTCGTCATTGTACGTCATGGAGTTAATAGTCTAATAGTAGACATGGTGAAGTCCAGAACTCTCTCTCTGACAGGATTGTAGATTTTTAATCGCCGCATTTGCAATTCACAGTTAAAATTTAATCGTTAATTGTGATTTTCTTCTAATTTTGATTGTCATAAGCGACATCACTGAAAAAGCTATCCAAGTCCATGGACGTTGTTAAACTTTGCTAATTTTTAAATTTCAAACATGCTCTTAGATTTTAGCACTGTTTGTCATAGGAGTTTGTCAAGTTAAAATCTCTCGTAAAAGTAAATCTTAAAATAGAGGTTCCAAGCTTTAATTTAAAAGGAAAATCATTATCCTACGATAATATGTTGCTAAGCAATCATCTTCCCAACTTAGACAATTCTCAACACTTTCATGATATCTTAGTTTCTTTTTAGTAGTATGTATGGTTTATTTTTCTATAATTTTAAGATAATACATAAAATTATCGACATATACGCTAGTCGGTAGAAATTGTGATATGTACAGACACTAAGATATTTACTATATACTACATACGTACATTTCCATTCCAGTACTGACAAAGTGGGCCGGCCTGAGGATCTTTGGAAAGAGCTACAGAATGAGATTAATCGCCGCCGTAATGAAACGTGGACCGTGAAAGATGTTATGACGCCTTGGACGGAGCAACCGGGATATCCAGTCTTAGATGTAAACGTCGAAAATAAAACAATCATTTATAAGCAAAAACGGTTCCTCTTAAGAAACCTAAAAAGTACATCCACTAACAAAACGTGGTGGATACCTCTTACATGGGCCAACAAGGAAAATCCGAACTTCGACAACGTAAACCCAGATAATGTATACTGGATCACGAAGTCCACCGGCAGGATTGATCTAGCAGACAAACCATTGGACTGGATTATATTCAATGTTCAATCTTCTGGTTAGTGTCAACAATTCTTCTGTATCATCTTAATCAAATGCTTTATTATCCAGCTTTATTAGATTGAAATGAAGTTTGTTTCCATTTCAAAGTGACGTCCTTCGTTATGAATACGGGCTTGAAATCTTAGACTGAATTTACCGCTCTCCAAATTTCATTTTCATCTTACTTTAGTTCAGTGATAGTAAAGATGACTAGAAGAAGCACGTTTCATGAATCCGTCGTCTTATTGTTACATTCCGATGTACCAACAATGAACTCGCTATTGACTTTAGATTTCATATTTTTATTATAACTTTCTTATAAAGCATTTGCAGGCCAACATTTATATTACATTTTGTTCTTATTTTTACTTCAACGTACTGCATATATAGCAGTTTGATCGTTAAATCCGGGATCAACCTATACAGAGTAGTCCTTTTAAGCAAGACTATCTAAATATCCCCTCAGCTTATTGTGATGAAAACAACATTTTTTACGTAATGTGCATAATGCCAATGGATTAATATTTGGCAAGGATATTTGTTTTCATCAAGGTCATTTTTTCGGAGTTTCAAGGTCGTCTGTGTTTTTTGTACACATAACTACACTTTTTTATTATTCTATTATGTAGCTAATTGAAAAATACATATATTTAGATATGTACAATAATATGACCCTGAAATGACCTTGATCTTCAAAAATTGAAGGTTAACATCGATGACTTTGATAATTCTGAAAAAATGACCTGGGGAAAAAATATTCTTGCCAAATATTGGTCCTTTCATACTATACACATGATGTTAAAAGTGGTTTTTACATCACAATAAGCTAAATAAATATTTAGGTGACCTTTCTTAAAAGAGCCACCCTGTACATATATGTGTAGATATGTGATAAATAATGAAACAGCTTGAAGAATTAATTTATTTTCGTGACACTTTATATAATAAATAATATTATTGATTAATAGAGAATGAATTATAAAAGTTGTCCAAAATTTGTTTCTCAGGCTTCTATCGCGTGAATTACGATAATGCCAGCTGGTACCGCATTATCAACGCTTTGAATAGCGATGAATATCAGAAGATACACGTCCTCAATCGAGCAGCTTTGGTCGATGATCTTTTTAATCTGGCTAGAGCCGATTTGTTATCTTATGTGACAGCTTTGGACGGCGTGAAGTATCTCACGCTTGAAACGAATTATTTACCGTTCAAAGCTGCGTTCTCCGCTCTCACTTATCTCGATCAACGATTTTCTGGAAACGAGGAATACTATCAACATTTGAAGGTACATCGAACGAAATTATGATTACCAATTTTTATGCATAATTAACTCAATTTACCCTCTTGTCATAAGTGAAGAAATGGGACATTTGTAATTAAAAATTAATTGCAGGACTTCATTCTTATTCTTATTGATAATATATACAAACAACTCGGCTTTACGGATCAAAACACTGATGATAGACTCACGGTGTTACTCAGAGGCGAGCTTAATAAATTGGCTTGCAACTATGGCCACAAAGAGTGCATTAATACATTCACCAGCATGTTCCAGCAGTGGAAGCAAAAAAATACCCCGTAAGGATATTTTAACGCTCAAAAAATTACGTAAAGAAGAATGAGATACGTCTTCTAATAAGTACGAACTTCGTTGTATACTTTATTGAAAGAAAAATTATTGAGAGAAGTTGAAAATATGTATTTTAAGGACACATGGATTTCATAGTGGTGTAAAATTCTTGATTAGAAAAATTTTCAAGAAATCACTTCCTTTACCTACAAATGAATAACTTCCTCAATTTTCAATATCTTAAAGTGCAAAATTGGGATCGATGCTCTTAAGGGGCCTTACCAGTGTGACCGCCTAAAATTTAGGTCATTTTTAGAAATTTTTTTGAACTTTATGGATATATTTGCCTATAAATGAGCTGTGTAAAATAATTTTTTCGTGCAAAAATAACTAAAGGCGGCCAAGTTATGCGCTATTTCCCGAGACGTCAAAAAAAAAGTGCCTCAACTGCTGACCACATACAGTGCCTGAAATGAAAAAAAACGAAGACGTTCTTAAAGTAGAATATTTCGTACGATGACGTAGGATATCCGAGAAATGTTGAAATCTGACAAAATGGCGGAGTTTTTAAGAAATTTTTTGATTTTTCCTTAAAAAAGTTGTCGTTTTTTCGTTGCCAAAATTACAGTTTTCATCCAATGAAGAGTATCCTATGACATCGGACATTAAAGCATGTCCAGAGCACTCCGTTAAAATTTTAAGTCAATCAGATAATTGGTCTTTGAGTTAGTGTCAGCAAATTTGAAAAATACCATTTCGAGAAAAACACGTTGAAGTTTTAACCATCATGTTATTACTTATATTATATTAATACTATTAGAAAGCTGCCACTCGAAAAGTAGTGGAGATCCGACCTTGAAATTCTAGTATGATATTTTTGAAGGTACAAACTTTCGAAAAATGCAAAAAAATTCGATCTTTTTTAAAGTTTCACACTGGTAAGACCCCTTAAAATGTGATATTTCCAAGAAAGATTACAATTTTATTCTGAGAATGAAAAATTAACGATTTTGTGAGATATTAAAACTAGGATTAACATCCAAAGGTTTGGAGACATTCAAGTTTTCTGGACATTTAAATGTAATTAAAACATTGCAGAATTAAACCGAATTATCATTCAGTGGCGTACTGCATGGGCGTGAAATATGGCAAGGAAGAAGATTGGGAATTCTTATGGAAGCAATATTTCAATTCGAACTCGGCTACACATCAAGAAACCATACTGCGAGCTCTCGGTTGCACTGAAAATGCGAAACTTTTGGAAAGGTTTGTACACTCCTTTAATTGCTTTTATTTTATTTATACATTTTCTTATAAAAGAACGTATAGTAGGTATATTCATATTACACGAAATTTATTTTGTTATTCATATAAATTCAAAATGTATAGCATAGAATGTATAAAAATTTTTAGTTTGCTTATTTTTAATTGATTTGCTTTTAGATATTTGTCATACGCACTCAAAGATTTTGAGGAAACGAGAATTCGAAAGCAGGATATCTCCACTGTGTACTCCGCGGTTTATGGGTCCAGTAAACTTGGCGCCGAGTTTGTATTGAACTATGTCGAGAAACATTATGACGAAATGGTAGAATTGTACGTTTCTTGACGTGAACAGAGATTGTGGCGTTTACTATATTAAAATCACGAAACTTGAATTCATTCTCTTGATTTCAGTTACGACGGAACAGGAACTATCACGAGCACACTCTCGTCCGCATCTCAACGTTTCTCCACGCAAGAGCTGGTGAACAAGTTCGAGTTGTTGATTAACGTGCGCAAGCTGGACTCGTTGAAAGACTCATTGGACATTGCGAAATACGAATTGAAAAGATTCAACAACTTCGCGAAGGACGTTGTACAGTGGGTAATCGATTACAACCAAAATCATGGGAATCAGGATAGGAACACGGAGTACCGCCTGCCGGGCACCGTTCAGCCTAGATCGTATTCGATACTAGTGGCGACCGACGTAAACGAGGCCGACCATTTTACGTTCACAGGAACGGTGAACATCGACGCAGTCGTCATAAACAACACGCAAGCCATCACCCTCCATTCCTCAGGCTTGACCCACGAAAATATATCCGTGCTCGTAAACAGCGTAAAAGTTGGTGTGTCGGTAAAGGTCGTTGACGTGTACGATTTCCTTGTGCTTCAGTTGGATAAACAATTAACAAAGGGACAGATCTTAACCATCGATATAGCGTTCAAAGGACAGTTGAACGAGGAGGAGATGCGCGGATTTTACAGAAGTTGGTATATCGACGGTGAAGGTAAAAAACGGTAAGCGTTAGCTTGTTAAAATAATCATAAATAAAGTGCGAATTTTTATACAGAATAAAAAATTGATGAGTTCAATGCATCTTATACAGTGTGACCCACTTAAATACAGCGACCTAAATATTTCCTTCATTTACAATGATTGGAAAAAGATTTGTTATAACATTTAAATGGCATCCAATGATGAAAGCTTTGCAAGAGTTACTTTTCCTGAGTTTTCAATATCACGGATATAATTATTAGCGATTATGTTTCCAGACTTAAAACACTAAACTTACACATGTGTTTCACAACACATACATTTTACTTTACAACAACTTCTCCCTCGTCACTGCTAAAAGTTAATAACATAGGAATTTAATTTCAAAATTCTTATTTTGGGAAATATAAGTCACTTTAAGATCCTGTCACTAATGTATTTGAATACATTTCAATGTCAACTATAATATGCCAAAGGACATAATATACATTTATAAGCAAAAAATATTAGTGACGTTAAAAATTTAGAACTAGATTATGTTGAAAAAGAAGAAGCTCATGCAAAGCGTCGTTCTGATACCATTTACATAGTTTATTACATATCTAAATATTTTTCCTATTATTGTAAATAAAGGAGAGACAATTTAGTTACCTATATTTAAGTAGATTACTCTGTATTGCAAGTTTTTGATGATATACATATTGCAATATACGTATAATATGTCCTAAGCTACTATGCAAATTGCATATTCAAATTTTCTGCAAATATACATATGTATAGCGACCGGAATTTAATAATAGTACTCTGTACTTCTGTGTAAGACTGCAATTGACATTGATACTTTAATTGATCAACTTCAATTAAGATAAAGATTGCAGTTTCTTTAATTATCGCATCAGCAACTTATAATTGATAAGTGGTGTACTTTTTAATTAATAGTTGCAGTCTAATTGTAAATCGACGAGTACTTTACTG